CCGTCATCAGACGGCTTCGTACCATTTTCTGTACCCTAAAAAACCTTACAAAAAGCTATTGAATCAAGTTGCAGAAAAGTGCAACTTTGTTCATGACGTCAAAAAAAATAGTAAAACAGTTAGTGTGTCTTTATTATTAAACTAAAAAATTTGCGAGTATATTTAAATTTCTCTTGAATTTTAATTACAATTATAACTTTGTGACGTCACGTATACACGTTACACCGTAATAATTGCTAACACTCACTACTTTCCGTTTTATTGTAATTTATTAAAATACTAGCTCTTCTGCCAGTCAAGTACAAATATAAATAACGCAGAGAGAGCTTGAAATTATAAGAAATTAGGTACAAAATTAAAGAACTAAATATATTACTAAACTTACGAATACGAGTAGATTTATATAAACAATACATATAATAGAAATGAACTAATTAACAACCAAATTTGAAAATATCACAAATGTAACTTTTACTTTTAAACAACTTTACTTCGTTTTTACCAGATCCTAGTTACGTTCCATGTAATGATAGACAAAGGTTTAAATTTCCTGATCTTCAGGAACAGTTCTTACCCAGGAATGAACGTATGTTTTATGTAATAAGTTCTGCCAATAAGCATTTGTTTTATCATTATATCAATAAACCGCTAGACATATTATTTTTTATATTTCTTACGAAAGAAGAAGAAGAACTTCTATGACATGCTAATCTTCAGCAAAAACTATATCATTAAATGATAACTGACTATTTCTGTCCAACTATCTTTTAGATTTATTTAGTAAGTGTTACTATGAATATAGACCCCATATTACCAATTATAAAAATAGCGTAACTAATTAACAACGTGGGCAAGCGCCACGTCGAGATGCGTACGATAAGATAACATAAGCTAATATTTTATGAAAATAAATGATATCCTACTTTATTCGTATGGGAAGATATTGTCGTTACACGAAAGTTTTGAAGGCTTTTAAAAATTTTGTAACGCGTTTGTAATTAAGTATCATTTACTAATAACTGAGCATGCTACAAAATTGACAAATTCTCTTAACAATTTTAAAAGGTGTATAATGTATAATGCATAAAAGGTTTAGAAACTTTAAGTTATGAAACAAATAAAACCAAACAAATTAATAGTAAGGCCCTGTATCTGAGATAGCAGTAATTATGTATATGTGAATAATAAACATTTTCATGCTCAAGGCCGATTTGCTCCCGGACCGATATAATCAAAAGTGCAGTCCGGCCAATAAAAAATTATTATCCCTCTGTGGGACAAAAACTGGGTAAGCCCATAGAGACTTTTATTATTATTTTTAAATAGCCACCTAATTTGCTACATATATATCATACTCATATTTATTACAATCAGTAACGGATGTGTTGCGTTTTGATATCTAGTACCAACCATGAGCTCTGGTTCGGGGCTATTTCTAGTTAGGCGGTACTTTTAAATAAAATATAATAAAATCTGGAAATATCACAACTATATTTGTTTATGGTATTTGTCATAAAACAAAAAGCCTTTTAGAGAGTGGGACTCGTTGTAACGTTGTAACATGTAACTATTTGGTGGCATACTGATTTTGAAAACTTTAGATATGATATCACTGATTACAGCATTTTTATTAGTTCCTGACATAGGAAAAATGTTATTTATAAGAAGTGAAAGTATTTAAGAAAGCCGCTAATTGAGCATGTTTAATTTCATGAAACCATTGGATTAAAACTTTAATATTTTAATCTAGTAGGTGCCTAAGTACATGCTGTTATAACTAGATGTGTTTTTGTTTTAAAATAATTCATCATTTCAAGCGACAAGTTGTCGAAGTCTTCATAAGCGTTGTCAGATACTCAGAACAGTACTTTTTATAGATAAAAGGGTTCATCTAGAAAAAAAAGTACTGTATCCTGAAGATTAAAAAATATGAAGGCGCAAGAAGCTGCAGGCAGGAACTAGTGTCAAGGTTAATCCAGTGCAAAATATCAGCATCATGATTCTAAATTCATTCTAGTATTTTGGACTTAGTTGTCTGCTCATAGAAGAAAAGTTGTACTTTCTACTCTGTGGGAACCGAAAACCTTGCTTTTCATTTATTTGGTTCATCGTCATCAATGTATCAAAGATCACTGCTGGACAATAGACATAAGCCTCTCTCAATGTGCTCATTGAGATGTAAGTGCTACATCACATATTATTCCTACTTATTTCTACCTAATGCCATGCACTGTTGGATTACGTAAAATGAGAAAGGTAGAAAAGCTAGTCAGTTACAACTTTCTACGTTAAATTTCAAACTTCAACTATATAATTAGAAATGAGTTTTCTTTAATAATGTGAACTACATGTTTATTTTCAACTTAAACTTAATTTATGTAAAACCCCACCTTCGGACTATCGACTAAACTTAAACATGCTCATTTCGATCAACGTTAGTATGAAAATATGTCAAATTTTAAAAGTATAGTGTTACTTATTAGAGAAAAGTGGAATGTAGTTACAATTGCGAGTTTATTACAAGATACACACTTTTCCCGTGTGCGAATTGAGGGCGTAGCCTTGTCCTGCTTCTTAGATTGGCACATTTTTATCTGCTCTTTGAACTGTAGCCAGCGGTGGGCAAACTTTCCATTTGATTGATAGAGGATGCAGTCGGCGAGATTATAAATAATTAGATATGAAAATCTATGTCATGATAATGTACTTTAGTTAGTGTACTATAATTCTTTATTCAAAACAACTGAGGCAGATGTAGTCGATATAAATTGAAAAGTTTGAAATAAGAATGATAGTCTCGGAATTGAACATTTTTGAATCATTTGCAGATTCAAAATTTTTATTTAGTTTTACAAATATATGCCATCTTTGAAGTTAGGACTTTTTTAAATTCCATAAATATGTAATCCTATAAAAATATAATCCGATATATATTTAAACGTTGGGATGCCACGGTTGCTATCACGCCAAATTAGCTGAATTATAATAAAACTATAAATAGAAATTTAGTTACAACAATATAAGCAAATAATTTGTAAACAAGATATTGAGAACAACCGAGTCAAGATACTTGGAACTGTGTTATTTATTTCAAAATTAAATATTAGATATTAATATTCAACTCCTACTCATAGCGGCGTTAGACTTCAAATTCCAATTAGAAATATGAAAATGTAAATTAATTTAGATTGTGTTAAAGGAAATTTATTAAATTTCTTGAAAATAATTTTATATAGAGAGTACAGAATATTTACATTTGATTATTCATTGATCTGGAAATATTGAATGACGGCAAAATGTAAAGTTAGGTTCATTTAATTAGATTTGAACACAGTAAAGCTCTAGTTAGAGAAATTAGAACAATCTTCTGATGCTATTAAAAAGTAGGTGTAATACCTATTCGAATAATCTTTTGGAAGTATTGGGATAGAGCCAAGCATGACTCTATATAGAGTAATTAGTAGTATTTTAATTTATTTAGTAAAGCACAACCAACATGGATACAGTACAAACCAACTGAAATTAAAAATGTAGAGTTCAAATTAATTAGTAAGAATTGAATTATGCTAGTGATCGTAAGTTTTTCTATAAAACCAATTTCAAAAAAAGAGGAAACGTTTCTCAATCTGGCCAAATTTTGCCCAATACATTTCTTTTTTATGCATGTCACGCAAAATCTTCTCTATTCATTTTTTGAGTTGGTTGTTCTCAAGGCTGGTTCCTATTTAAATTTTAAGAAAATATTTAACTTCTAAAGACGAGAAAGTTCGAAATGAAGATTAAAAGTACAATTGATAATTAGGCTCATTGAAGTCAGTCGGTTGATTTTTTTTTAAACTAAGGTATTTGTTTATAAGTTCACTGAATTCATTTACCCAATGAACGTATTAGTTTAATGTCATGGCAGTAGACATCGCTCTACGAGTTCTATTTAATTCAATTTACGGAGGCTAAGCCACACCGTACGAGTTATTGACCCAAGTTCATTACTAAGTACTATGTCAACATTAGGAATAATTATCATGTGTTAGTATGTATGTCGATAGTTTTATTTAAATTACTTTGTTTCTACACCAACATTGCAATGCAATAATACTTCTCCTATAAAAGTTTAGGATGTAAACGAAAAATTAGAGTTAACATTTATTACTTAATATTTATTTCCAAACTGCCAGAACTTTAGAAAAGTTGGAATAAACTGGTGAAGAGCAATATTTTATTAAGGAATTGTAAACGCAACTGATAAAAGTGGCGGTGAAGTACGGCATACTTAACATCGCTACTTCTATCAGTTGCTGAACATATGTTTGTTAATTCACAAACTTTGTAATTATGCAATGAAAATTCTCACAGCCACTTTCATATACAATACATCCAAATATTATTAATATAATATAAACTTAAAGTTACTTATGGTACTTTTTGACTAGATTTCATTATAAATAGTCAACGAGAAAGCGTCCTGAACAGAATCATAATATCTGTCATTGCAATGCGAAACACAGAAGTTTAACGTTTAACACGTGTTTCCTGCGATCATGTCGTGGAGAGCGCTATTTTGCGCTTTCCCCTTTACGCAGCATTCTCTAACATCGTACATTACGCATACATCATTACTGAATCTCATCTTACATAATCCAAACAATAATTGAACACAACAAGTTCAATTGAAAGCTGTACTTTGATGTCACTCAAATCAGCTGAGCGCTCCGGCTCCGAATGCAACCGCTCTTATAGACAACTTTCCAAGTGGCTAGAAATATTCAACGGTTGCTCTACCAACAGGCTGTCATCGACTACTGAAATCCTCCACCAGTCATATAGTACAATACCCACCTAGATACAGTTTGGGCTCAATTTTGACGACCCGCTTTCCCACTCGGCCAGAAATACAGAGGATCGCTGGTCCGCGCGCACACTGGGCTCTGTCTACTCATCCATCACTGCACATCCGCACGATTTTGCGAGACTCACGATTTCACTGTCACAGCACGCGGCGGTCACCGGTGACCGCCAGCGGGAGTCACGGCATGCACCAGCACAGACACGAGTTTCAATGGTTGCGCGGCTACTGCTGCAGTGGAGTGGACGACTGACCGAGGTGGAACCGTTGAGGACCGAAACTGCGAGGTCAGCGCGACCTCCACGCTCGAGAGCGTGAGAGCCGGCGAAGCCTGAGCGGTGGCAGGTGTGCTGCGAGAAGAGCAGCGATAAAGCGGAGAGAGTTGTACGGTACGAGACGACGCGCGTGACTCGCCGCCGCCGACTGACGGGGCGCGCCGCGACGAGCCTCTACTTACTACCACAGGCGCACTCGCGCACACTCACACCCGCCGCTCACACCTACAGGCCGCGCCAAGCGACACGTCGCCCTCGCAATCCGGCCTCGCATTGAATAGATCCTAACACATTTTAAAGTTTCATAAATCAAATTAGACTCTAAAATCTCATCGAGATCGTCCAGGACGCGTGCCAGTCTACCGGTTTGTATATTTACTTCAACTAAAGCATCAGATTGTAGACGCATCGGTTGCGCAGTGAATGGATAGCGCGTGTACAGACAACAGCAGCGCATGCGCCACGCACACTCTCCTGAAGCGTCCATGTACTTATTAATAATTCGTGTGTGATTGTAGTAGTTGAGCGTAACCAAAACGGCGCTGGGAAATTGAAAAACAAGCCTGTGAAACTTAGTTGTATAAGTATACGTAATATGTTTATCATTCAGTGCAGATTAATTCTTGGTAGGTTTGTCCAATACCACGGGAGTTCAATAGTCAATTAAAGTTATCAGTTCTGATTACTTCAAACCAAAACAAAAATGAAAAGAAAGGGAATAAAAACTTCAAATGATATCCTAGAGTAATTAAAAAAGAGAAAGTTAACTGGATTATTTTCATAAATATTCCATATATAAGCATGTGCTAATGCTGGCGTATTCCCGAAGCGCAACTAATATCTGTACTTTAAAAGGTATATTTGCACTGTAATTCAAGACATTGCTGTCTGCAATAATCCATAGGTAAAACTATTAAATTTTTAGGGTTCCTATTCTCAAAAATGTAGAGTTACTCAAAAAAGAATCCGAATAGAATTTGCTTGTTTGTCTATTTGTCTCTGAAGAAGAAGGGTTTCTGGACGAAATGCGTGCAAGTATCAGTACAAAAAAATCAAACACTCATAAATGCATGCGGTACCTCGAAGCTCTGTAAATTCAAGCTTTTAAGTCAATGAGTTCAAACTTATTCAAATTGACAAAAATTATAAAATTTGTCAAGCAGAAATCTCTTCTTTTAAAACTAACCGCACAAGTCGAATGAAAAATCTGAAAATCGTTGATTGGTATATCATATTTTTCTACTTTTGTTATTAAAAATGTATATATTGTGGTTAACAAATATGCTCAATATATATATCGATCTATAGGGAAGTAATTTTGGAGTAAAAATCCTGTAGTATCTTCGAATTTCCAAGATGGACGGAGTATTTACATATAAGCTTATACGAAACCCTCGGTGTGCGAACCAGTCTTATACTTGTCCGGTTTCAGTTTTTGAATAAAGCTAAAACAAACAATAAATCACGCAAAAAGTAGAAGTACACATGTAGAAAGTTTGGAATTTTTCAGTTAACATGCCAAGAAAAACTGGTTACCTTGGGCTAAAAATAGTAGCGCTGTGTGCTGTAAAAAATCGGGTACGTACATCTGTCATTCCAGCCATAGAACGTACACTTACTGACGTGAACGTACTGCCGTACTTAGGCTCTACGAAAATTCATTCTAAATCGTTTACTGTAATAATACAAACCCCTCATCTAGCTGTGCTTCTTAAATTAACATGTTCGAACGTGTAAAAGAGGCCTTATTAGAAGTAGCCCTGTATATTTATTCAATGCAATTGTAGTAAGGTCATCGAAATATTGTAGAAGCTGCTACAAATTGCGTAAATAGATGATCCAATGAACTTGTACAATAATAGCGGGTGTAGTTGAAAGACATTGAAGACGAAGAAGTATTTCACGACTTCTTCCACAGTTCGGAACTGGTCCAAGGTCAACGTATCGTACGCTGTGCCACACAGCTTAAAAAATCTAACTAAATACGTAAACACATATTTGAAGAATGACACTCCGTTAGAGCCTCCGTGGTGACAGCTTAATATTCACTAATTTAAAGCTCACTTATGTTTGGTGAATCAGCCCTAGTTTGTAGGGTCACTAAAAATGGTAATGGTAAGTTTGGCCCACAAACTGGGGTTGATTTTTATTTTATGTATGTAGATAATAGAGAAGCATGTTCCCGCGACATAATTTGCGTTCTCATGACGGATAACCGTTTACAAGTTACATATACATATTTATATAAAGATGTATACTGACTTTTGTTATATTTTCATATTCGATGCTATGTTTCAATTTAAATTTTTCCTATTACAGTTTCTTAAAATCGTGTTATTTCTGTTATGTAACAACTACTGGATGCCCATATAAATAAATACATCCATAATCGAACATATCCGATAGCCTGAGACAATATCATATAATATGTAACAGTCTTGTAAACGTCTTGTATCCGTTTTTTTATAAATCCATAACTAATATTTTATCAATCCGTAACATCCCTGATTGACACAGAAATTTTTACTGCTATGAATATGATATGTCTATCATCTTATTTCTAGTCTTATGATGAGTCTTTCAGTGTAGGAAAGAAGAGAGCGTGAACTTGCATCTGAGATCCAATTTTTGCTGCGGTAGAGCATCAGTAGAATCAGCCTCTTACAAATTCATATCTTCACGTATTCATGATATTTGACAGAGAATAGATAAATATGAGGTGAAAGAAATACATCAAGTAAGTACTCTACGTTTTTTTAAAGAAGCCTGAATATAGTAGGTATGTTTATTTGTAAAACGAACTAAACTGGAAGCAATTAAAACTGACACTGCAAATATTAATGGCACACAAAAAGAGAAACGGTCTCATCAGTGGCCCGACTGGCCAACCGCCGTCACACCGCGTCAACTCTCAGCGAAAATAAATGTTTGCTTATTAAAACACTGTTTAATGAAAAACATACGGCTCTGAACATTAGTTGTCGTCCTTTGCAGTAAAAATGCCAATTACTTCTTATATACGTTTTCTAATACAACCAAGTTGACATTACTTGATTTCGTTGCAACTGCGTGTAAAATCTATACGAGTGGCATCGCTTGTGTTTTTGAAATCTTATGTAGCTTTCTGTTGACTAACTCACCAGAAACAAGAAAAAAACTGAACAAGAGCGAGTCTGATACCATACTGTTTCGCGTTCAAGCCTATGTGGTAGTAATCTTGGGAATTTATTCTCGATAAATGCCCGTTTTTTTTTCAAAGTAACAATTTTGACTTTGAACATTTAAGAATAATTTTCCATACGTCGATGTACGTGACTGTTCGATTTCCAAGTGCAAAATATAACTTTGTAATCGCAAGAAATATATATTTTATGCATAGTGCGTACCAGCAAATTAAGGATTTTCTAATTGTTTTCTTTAGGAGTGTGATAGGACCTTGATTTTTGCTATATTTTCTGAATCTAGGTCAATGGGAAGTACCATAGAGGTTTAGATATACTTAAATCGAAATGTTGAAATTAGTTAAATTAAAATACTTAAATGTGATTGTGGATTGGCTTGACTTGAAAGCTTGAGTTTTTTACTGTTTCCAGTGACATAAAAACTACAAACGAAGTGACCCAACAAAGGTTTCGTTTTCCATTTTGAGGTACGAAATCTTAAAAGCACGACGTTATTACGTACGTATTACAATTTAAATGTTGTTACATCATTATCATCAAAAACCTTTAATAGTCCACTGCTGGATATAGCCCTCTAGAGGTATTTGCTTACTATACCACTCTGGCCAGATGGGTTGTTGTAGCGTTTGTTTCAAGTTTTTCTTTTGATTGCAGTGCTGTTATCCTGCAGAGTTTGCTCCCTTAGTCGGCTCTTACGTCCCCCAGGAGACGATTAGGGGTGGTGACACTCCGTATTCTTAATCCGTCACCACATGGACTGTTGTTAGACTATTTAATTAGATTTTAAGACTAAGAAAAATTGTAGATCCCTGTTATATCTTCAGTTCTGGTTTGGGTTGTTAATTTGATGTTTTAATGTTGTTTTTATAGAAACAAGCGAAAACCGTCGGTACATCGTCCGTACGACCGTCCGTTTTTCCTTTTTACTTTAACTAATATTTGTTTTAGCATTTACAACACATTACACGTTTTATATTTGCCAAATAACTTTCTTCTAAAACTCTGAATAAAAAGATAAAACTAGAAAAATAACTAGGACTGTCAGACGGTAGGTATTATACTATATGACGGCACTAAATCATTTCTGATCTCAAAAACATATTGTTAATTCTTGTTTATATGACATTTATGGATTTTGTTTTTCAAGGCATAAATTAACCTCGTAAATTGTTCATAAAAACCAGGTCAATGGAAATCTAATGAAAAAAGAAAAATTTGATAAACGTTTTATAGACTTTAAACACTACATTTATTAATGAACGATCACTAAATACAATGCTCTACATAACATACTAGCTGATTCCTGATGTTTGACCTGCGTTTATTGTCACCTTTTCCCGTCGTAGCTTAATATTACATGGCCAATGGTTTTCTTCAAGAAATTTCTTTAAAAAAAAACGTATTTTTTACAAAACTATTTTAAGCAATCAAACAAAATCTGTTCAATTTAATAAATCCTGTGTCAGTTTAAGCAGTTGAGATTGAAATGATTAAGTATACTTTAAACGCATACGTCGTATCACATTATCATTACATCACCAGCGTTTAACAGTCCACTGCTGGACATAAGCCTCTTCTTAGGAAGGAGGTTTTGGCTTACTATGCAACGCTGGTCAGACGGGTTGGTATAGGGTTTGGGGTGCTGGGCTAGAAAACCTCCTCGTGGTGCACCCTGGAAACGCTGGCGATGGTACTGTTTCCTCCTTGTCCTCTTGGAGGAGAGGATTATCGCCAGCGGCCAATATTCTAGCAGAAGAGGCAGCCGTTCATCGGCTCTCGGGCAAGGCCTGGTCCAGCAGGGTGGGCGTGTCTGCCGGTTGCCCTGCTGGCTCTTCGCTCTTCGGAGCATGGAGGAGGAAACCTCGGTAAAAAACCTGATGGCGGGGCCCTGTAGGGGCCACAGTTTTCTTCGCTGACAGCGGTGGAGAAAGGAGGACGGGCTCGGCGTGTACTCACACTACCACCGAGCAGGCAGGGGGACGTAGTCTCCCTGTCAACCGTCGGCATATCGTAATCCCGAGAAGAGCGCTGTGGTTAAGTCTCGCGGCTCTGATCGGGGGCGAGGGTCTTGGCTTAACCGCCCGGACCGCGAGGAAGATAACCTCTCTAAAAAATTCCCCGAATCCCGTGTTCTGGTGCGTGGCCAGGGGATGCATGGCTGATGGGAAGTTCAGTCGCGAGCGCACTCCAAGCCGAGGTACCTGCGGACCCCTCGGTTGGGTTAAAAACTTACGCTTGCCCGGGTAATGGGGGATCTCTGCCCGGGTGGACCTTTATTTCTCCCCCACTCGTGGGATCAATTATG